TGTTAAGTATGATGATATATTACTCTTTCTTGTAGTACTTCATGCAGTACCTCCCTATGAGATCACAATACCAGCAGTGGCCCCTGCTGTAGACTCACTCTTGTTGTTGCTTATTTATCAACACTTGCCAAAAAACAACAGATATTAAGTGGCGATGAGAAAGAACGGTAGAGGTCATTGGTGCGTGAAAGCTTTGGTAGTGTTGTTTTTCTTCCATCACTCCTGCCAGGGTAAGTGAAAAAGAGAGAAAGAAACAGAGACACAGTGGGGGGGAGGAGGCTTTAAAGGAAAATGAGTCAACTGATGAAGACAGAACAGTAACGTTGTAAATCACCTGTAGCTGGGTCAGGGTGTTTCGCAGTGCTCCCTCCAGATCCTGTTTCAGCTGGGCCAGCTCTCTTCTCTCACACAATAACAAGTAATCAGCACCATCTCTCTCCTGCAGCAGAGCAGACCTGTCAGTGAACGCATCTCCACTCCTTGACAAATGGAGTTCAAGATACAGAACTTAATGAATTAATCCGTAGCCTTGTTGTATCACTTACACCACGTCTGGTGTTGGATGACATATTTATTATTTGTCAGTACTGAAATGATTTAAAAGTGATTTGATATTTGCAGTACTTTGTCTGGATACTGCAGGAGCTGTGTGTGATGTTTGAGAACACGTGGATGCAGGTTTCTGCAGGTTAAATCCCCAGAGATTAACTGTGGTGCAGTGCACACAATAAACAACAAATTAGCTCAATTATCTGTCTTAAAGTTAACATCTTTAAGTGGTTGAAGTCTAGAGAAGTGCAGATGTCAGACAGTTTGAGCCTCGACTCAAGCGCAACACCACTGCTGATCCCTGTGGAGAAATTCTCTTTATGGTGTTTTGTCTCCACGGGAAGGTCAAAGGTCAGAATGCAACAAAAGGGCAGCACTGAGCCAATAAATGATTCAGTGTTTTGCTGATGGATGGTTTGGTTATGTGACTGTATTCATCACACTACGGCCCAAAGAGCAAACAAAGCCCGGTGTGGAGAAGACAATCGTGACAAGAGCAAGCTGGGTCACATTCAGGATTGAATTGTGAGGATGAATTAAATCCATACATGGTTGTACATCCACTTGATCACAGAAGTAGATACAAGACCCTCTAGCGGAGTAGGAGTGGTGAAAACTTACCGTCTCAGCAGTAGACGGCCTCCTGGTCCTCCCCTCCGAGCTCCTCCTGTTGACAGTCAGATTAGTCCTCAGGCTGCGCAGCATCCTCTCCAGGTGACCCTTCTCTCTCTCCAGCCTGATGCCCTCCTGGGTCACCCTGCCGGCCTGCCTGCGCAGCTGGCCCTCCACCTCCCGCACACTTCGCATGTACTCCCCGGCCACGGCAACGCTGGCCCCGGCACACTGCTCACGCAAGCTGGTAGGCGGGAACGGGGCCACGGACGTCCTCTGGGAGCCACTGGGGAACTTCAGAAGAAAGTTAGATTGCAGTTTCCAGTGGTGGAAAATACATTTACTGAAATACTGTGATTAATTACAAGTTTGAGATACATTTTATACAACTTTACACTTCTACTCCACTATTTCAGAGGGAAATATGGCACTTTTTAATACATTACATTTAAACTTTGGTTAATAGTTCACAGATTAAGATTTTATTAAAAAAACACATGATCAGCCTCTAAAATATGAATATTTATAGACTAAACTGCCCAACA